AAACTGATGATCTGCCCTGTAAACTTTCACTCAGTCCACAATAAAAATCTTTAAAACACACACACACACACACACACACATATATTTGCATGAAGCATGCAGGGGATTGTAATCATTGCAGTGAAACAAACTCATGTTCCCTCATGTACACGATCATTCAGTTCACAATAAAAACTTAAAAAATTATATACATATATAGATTTGCACCTTAACCAGAGAAACAGCGACACCAGAGATGGAGGCAGAGTTGGAGCAGCTGAGGACTCATGGAAAGAGAAAGGCTGTTTGAAGGTGGCCAGGAGGCTGGCTTGCAGAATGAGCCCTTTGGTTGTTTCGATGATTATGCGTGTTTTTGTGTACATCAAAACAAGAAAACAAAACAAAAACGAGAGGGAATAGAAGCAATACTGTTAACCGATGATGCATGGGGGGAGTTGTAATCACTGTGATGAAACCAATAGGATGAGTGTAAAACGGAAGTTCTCCTGTGTAAACGATCACTCAATTCACAATAAGAGCTTTAAAAACAAACGTATTTGCAATGAAAAAGTCACTGGTGTTGCAAAATTCTATCATGTGATCTCCAGCATTGTTTCTATTACCCAGGCTATATTTCCCAACCACTGATCCTTTCTTTTTTATCTCTAGCCTTTGCATTCCAGTCTCCAGTAATTATCAGTACATCTTGATTGCATGTTTGGTAGAATTCTTTAATTTCATGATCACTGACTATAGTAGTTGGTGCATAAATTGTGTGAGATGGGCACTGTAACAACTCACAGAGGAGCATAAGCAGAAGCGTTTGGACGTCTGCAAACAGAATTTGGACCAGTACTCGAAGGAAGGTAAAAGTTTCTTTTAAAAAAATGGTTACTAATGACGAGCCATGGGTTGATCACTGCGACCCTGAGAGTAAATGGCAGAGTATGGAATAGAAACATCCTCAATCACCAACCAAGAAAAAGTTCCAAAGTCAACCATCAGCTGGAAAATTGGTGCTTACACTTTTCTGGGATTCTCAAGGGCCAGTATTGGAACACTATCACGAAAAAGGTTCAGCCATCAATAGTGCTCATTACTATGAGATGCTCATGAAAATCTGCAGCCAAAACTTTGGATAAAATGCAGAGGACTGCTTTCTAAGGGCATTGTGATCTTGGATGACAGTGCACGTCCACACACCTCTGTCCACACTGTTGACACCCTGTAAAAATTTCATTTTCAGGTGCTAAAGCGTCCTCCATATAGTCCTGATCTTGCTCCATCGGACTTTCACCTGTTTGGTTCCCTGAAAGCAGCCTTTGGAGGAAGAAAGTTCACCTCTGGTGAAGAAGTGAAGACAGCAGTGTATCATAGCTTGCAGGTCATACTAAAACATTTTTTAATAAGGGAATATGAAAGCTTGTTGACAGATGAACGAAGTGTATTGAAAAGCAAGATTTTGATGGGAAAATGATGATTTTATCTTTTCTAAGTGTTATAAAAAATATTACACTCAGAGTGCGGGTAATTTTTAACCCATCGTCGTATTAATAATGAACGTTTACAGCTGTTTGTCCTTATTTTCAATTAACTCTTGAATGAGCCTGTGGAAGAAATGATGTAAAAGAGCTGAATAGAGAATTTCAAGCCTCGGGGTGCAATACTGAGTTATGTAGGAAGCATAAAAAGATGATGGGAGGAATCCACAGAGTCACTATTAACAAAAAGAATTGACTGACATGCAGCCATTTTAAGAGGTGCCATATGAACAAGAACCAATGGTACCGAAGGAAGTTCAAGCTGCACTGAAGCTATTGACAAACTTCAAGGATCCGGGAATGGATGGAATACAAATGGACATTTCATAACAAAATAGATGCAGCACTGGAAGCGCTCCCTTGTCTATGCCGAGAAGTTTGGAAGACTTGCCAACTGATTGGATTAGATCTATATTTGTACCTAAAGGTGACTCAATGGGATGCAGAAATCAAACAATATCAATAATAAAACAAAAGCAAAATTTTGCTGAATGTAATTAAAAAATGATTGCAGCAGTACATTGATAGGAAGCTAACAGAAATTGAAGCTGGATTCAGAAAAGGATGTGAAACTAGGGATATGATTGCTGACATCAGATGGAACTTGTCTGAAAGAGTACTAGAAAGATGTTTAATACTTCTTCTTTTTTTTTTTACTTGTACTTTTTGATTCTGCAAAAGCATTCGACTGTGTGGATCATAACAAACTATGGCTAACATTCAGAAGAATGGTTATTCTAAAACACTTAATTGTGCTCATGAAAAACCTATACATAGTCCAAGAACACAACTAGAAGATACTGAGTGGTATGCATCAGGGTTGTCTCCTTTTGCCATACTTAGCCCATCTGTATGCTTTAATACATACAAATAATCCGAGAAGCTGGATGATATGAAGAGGACTATGACAGGATTGGAGGAAGACTCATTAACAACCTGTGACATACAGATAACAGGGACATGCTTGTTGGAAGGGAAGATGACTTGAAATACGGGTAAAGATCAAAGACTACATTCTTCAGTATGGATTGCACCTCAATATAACGAAAATGAGACTCCTCAGAACTGCACCAATAAATACCATGATAAATAGAGAAAAAATGGAAGTTCTCAAAGACTTCATTTGCTTGGATCCACAAGCAGTGCTCATGGAAGTAGCAGTCATGAAACCAAACAATACTGTATTGCATTGGGCAAATCTGCTGCACAAGACCTACAAAAGTGTTCAAGAGCAAAGATTTCAGTTCAAGGCCTTAGGTGCACCCCCAAGCCATAGTATTTTCAGTAGCCTCATATGCATGTGAAAAGTAAGGAAGACCCTAGAAGAATCCGTGCATTTGAGTTATGGTGTTGGGAAGTCATATTGAAAGTGCCATAGACTACCAGAAGAACAGTATGTTCTGGAAGAAGTACAGGTGGAACATTCGTTCTTTAGAAGCAAGGGCGGCAAGAGTTTGTCTCACGCACTTTGGACATGTCAGTAGAGACAGTTCCTTAGAGAAGGAAATCATGCTTGGTAAACTGGAGGGTCACCCAAAAGAGGAAGACCCCCAATGAGATGGACTGACAGGGGGGCAGCAACCGTGAGCTCAAAGATAACAATTGTGAGAATGGTCCAGGTCCAGGCAGTGTTTTGTTCGGTTGTGCATGGGGTCACTGCGAGTCATAACTGACTCACCTTACAACAACACTGTACACTTAATAGACTGTTGTTGTTGTTGTTAGGTGCCATTGAGTCGGTACTGACCCATAGCGACCTTATGCACAGCAGAATGAAACACTGCCCGATCCTGGGCCAACCTTTCTACTGTTGCCACACTTGAGTCCATCGATGCTGCCACTTGGTCAATGCATCTCATTGGGGGTAGACTATAGAATAGTGTAAATATACTTTTTATATGCACTGCAAAACCAAAAGAGTGCCACTTGCTTTATTGCGGTCATCTAGAACGAATCCAAGGAGATCTGGGAGCAGTGGTTAGCATACTGACTAATCTCAAGGTCAGCAGTTCGAAACCCCAGTGGTTCTACGGGAGAAAGATGAGGCTTTCTGCTCCCATGAAGGTTTACAGCCTGGGACACCCTGTACAGGGTTGCTGTGAGTTGGAACTGACCCCACGGCACAGAACCACCACCAGAACTGCTCCTGTAATATCTCCGAGTTCTGCCTGTGCTTGGAAAAGGACTTGGTATGGTACATTTGCTATGTGGACGGGAAGTGTCAGCTAGTGTTGCTCTGCCCTCTGACACCCTACAACAACAGCTGTACTTTACAATAACAGCTCCTTTATGACATGTGAGGAACAAGCCTGCCCATCCCACAAACGGGAAAAGCAGGACTCAGCGAGCTGGAGCACACAGAGGTAACTAAAGATTTGGTAGAGAACAAATGAAGATTTTCTTGTTAAGTTCTAAGACTACTCTCTCTGCCCCAACCACTAGGGCTGGGATCGAGACCCGAAGGTATCCCTGAGCCACCATAGCGGGTCATTCACATCTTGTTAATTTTGCTCCCTGCTGTTGGTAAGTGCTGTCTAATCAGCTCTGACTCCTAGCCAACCCTGTGTAGGGTTTCTGAGGAGCAGCTCATGGGTTTGAACCACTGACCTTGCTGTTTGCTGTCCAGTGCTGATCGTGTTCTTCTTTCTGGGTTGTTACCTTGGTTTGGACTGTGGTTATGGGGCCCTGACTGGTACCTTAGCCTCATGACTTGCTCTGCTTTATGTCCCAAATGCCATTGGAACAATGGAGCCCAATGTGAATTGGGCCATTTTTCTGCTTCAGACCTTGCAGTGGCTCCTTTGACTGCAGGCCTTCTCTGTATAATCATGTGGCTATGCCTCCCTTCTCAGGTCTTTTCCTGCTACTGTGTCCTTTCCCTTGAAATACCTGACACCTCATCTCACCCACTGAGTGGCTGCTGAGTGCGGATTCCTCTCAAGAACGCCACCTTTGGGAAACTCCTTCCCTGGGACCTTTAGTCTGAAGTGCCCCAAAGGGCACTGCGTTTTAAGATGCAGCTGTCCTGGTCCCTGTGTTGTTGCTCACACTGCTGGGGTCCAGTTATCTTGGATTCTGTACTTGATGAGCATCCCCGGATGCTTTCTTCCAACCTGTCCTCTTGCATCAACACTCTGTCCTCTTGCCCCTTTGCTGGGACCTGAGCGGTCCATGTTTCTTTTCCTAAAGGCATCCCAATACTGAGAACATGTCTTTTATTTATATTTATTAACTTAAAGGAGTTATCAGGAGGGACATCATGCTTGGTAAAGTAAGGGTCAGTGAAAAAGAGGAAGACCCCCAGTGAGGTGGATGACCCAGTGACAGCAGTAATGAGGTTTCCTCTGTGAGGCTGGTGCAGGACCAGGCTATGAGTCAGTGCTGACTTGATGTCACCTGACAACAACAAGGGAGAAAGGAGAATGACCTGGATTTTCTTTAGAGAATTGCTCCCTTTATCCTGTTTTTCTTCTCTACTAGTGACTTGAATCCCACTAGGCGGTCTGGACCTGTGATTGTTCACGCCAGCAGATGTAGAAAGTACGGTATGTTCCCACTGGCTGCGGCTCCTTCTGTGGCTGGCCAGCGCAGGCGTGCTGGTGGGGAGAGCCCCTCTCTGATCGCTCTCAGTAGCTGTGGGGCAAGCTTGTCCATACCTAGTTGTGTGCCATCGAGTTGGTTCTGACTCATGGCCATCACACATAACACAGTTGAACTACCCTGAGGGTTTTCTTGGCTGTACTATGAGGGGGCTTCAAATAGTTCCTGGAAAAATTTTCTCTTTTAATTCATTTTTCCACAAGCATGTGGAGTCTGCTTGTATTTACAGGGGCATATTGTCAAGTCTTTCTCTTGGGCAGCCACTGGGTGGGTGCAAACCCCCAGCCAGCCTTTCCATTAGCGGCTGGGCACTTAGCCCACTTCACAACAACTGACCCTAGAAATTGAGTGTCCGTTTCTTTCTTTGAGGGGTGTTCAGTCTCTGGAAAGTCTTGGTTCTTTGCTTTCTCCTCCTCTGGCTCCCCTTGCCACCGTGGAGAAGACCAGCGTGGTTGTTTTTTGGGGAGATGGGAGTTTGTGGTCTGGAGGAGGCCTGTGCCTTCAGCAGGCATGGGTACTGAGCCCAGTGGGGGAGAGAGACCCCTCCCCACCTAGGCTGTGGTTCTCATCAGTGTTCGATGTTCTCACTTCTGATTTTTCAGTTGAGACCAAGTGCCCGCATGAAGCAGCTTATGATGCCTTCCTCTGTGGGTCAGGTAACTGACAAGCCCCTGCTCTCCTCAGCGCGTCATTTCTCTGTGGTTGGTTTGCACGTTTTGGAAATAAACCAAGAGTGTATGCATTTGGATGAGCTAATCCCGTTGTCACTCGAGGGGTGTTACAGTCCCACCTTTCTTTTCCAGTTCTTTTGAAAGTGGCTCACTTGCTCCTCCTGAGAGCTCACGGGTAAGCACTTTTTCCGGTCATGCTCTGATCTGGTCACTGGTCAGGATTAATTGAGTCCTCGCTATAATTCCTGAGGTCCCCTGGCTACCCCTGTGGAAGGTGACTGGCATGCCTGACTGCAGCGTCCATGTGTGTTCATTGGGGGCCAGGCTCTGGGTGTGGTGCTGTCTGGACAGGGCTGGGCTGATGCAGGAGTGGGACTAGAGAGGCAGAATGACAAGGGTGACACAGTAGCCAGGTCCTGAGGCTGCTGCAGAGGGCTTCTCAGCAAACGGTCACCTGCTGCATGAGCCCCCTGGAAGCTCAGCTCTCAATTGGGCCACTGGGAGGGGTCTTGAAATTGTTAGTTGGGAGAAGCACCTTGACGTAGCCCCTGGACATGAGAGAGGTGGAAGGCAGGCAGTACTGTGGGAATTGTGTCCCTTCCTGGTTCTGTCCCCAGGCCCTTAGCTATGAAAGGAGGGGTGGTCTCACTGCTGGGCTTTGCTCTGTCCTTGTAGCAGCGATTCCACACCAGTGCCCACCTTCTCCCACTACCTGGATGTGCTGGCCCCTTATGTCAACCAAGTGAATCTTATTCGAGCTGGGGTCCCTAAAGTCGTGAGTAGAGTCCACCTTGCTCCTTTACCCTGTTTGGAAGCTTGGGTGGGGATGGGGGTGGGGTAGAGCTGCTAATATGCTAGTGGGGGGTCTGATAATAAGCACCCCCACCCAGCTTGGGATCAGGGGCTTCCTAGCACAACCCAAGACAGATTCTTTCCCGCCCCCACCTCTCCTCCCCGTATGCTCCCCACTGCCTGGACCCTTTCCCAGTGGACCTTTCAGGGTTTGTCAGAGTGGAGAAGATGTCAGTTGGAATTGCAGAAAGTCCTTTTGTTGTTCCCCACATTTTCTAGAACTTTTCCGGTCCAGATTATCCCAGTGTCCGACCACCCATCCTCATCCTCAGTGTCAAGAGGTGGCCGGGGGTCAGTGAGCAGCAGATCTACCACGAGTTCCAGAACCTCTGCAAGTTTGACGTCAGACGCCTCACTAGGAGCCAGTTTCTGCTTCTTACCAACAAGTTTAAAGAGTGGGTGCCTGGTTCTCAGGCTGTGTCTCTTCCCCGCAGTCTGCCCACCTCTGACCTGATGGGACTACCAGGTCTAGGAGCGTGGCAGGACTGATCAGAGACCACCTCTGTTGGCAGTGCGCGGAATATCTTAAAGGATTACCGACATCACCCTGACCTGCAGGTGTCCCTGTATCGGTACTGGAGACATTCGCCAGACGTCAGCTGCGTGCTGCAGTAAGTAGCCAGGACTGTCTCATCAGTTGGGAGCTGAGCCCTGTTCACTAGCTGGTGGGTTCACTAGCTGGTGACCAGGATGATGAACTGTGTTCAGCACCAACACTTAGTGAGCATCGTCGGCTGTGGGGTGGGATGTGCAGGCAGGCCGTGGACCACCTTTATCAGTGAAGGAAAGAACACTTTCTGTGCTCACGGGCCTTACAGGCTTTCAGGAGGGGATGAGCGCTAAGCTTAGAAAACCGATGAGTTACGGAATCGATATGTGATAGGTGATTATTAAGGCAGGAGTCCTGGGTGGCATCAGTGGCTAAATGCTGAAAACCCCAGGGAGCAGTTCTGCGGACACACATTGGGCAGGGCCTGAGGGCCTGGCACTATGAGTTTGGAGTCGACTTGAAGCCATCTGATCCACATGGTTTATTAAACACTCGAGCAGTTCAGAGAGTGGAGTGGTAGCAAGGCTGGGGAGGGTCTCAGTGCAAAAGGAAACATTAAAGAGGTGAGGCTCTAGCAAAGATGCTAAGGCATTGAGGGCTGCAGGAGCCACCCAGGGATACCTGGGACAGTGTCCCAGGAAGAGGGAGCAGCAAGGGCAAAGGTCCTGGGTGGGACTGTACCGGGTGCTGTGGGGCTGCAAGAAGGTTCCTTGGCTGGAACAGAAGAGGTGGGAGATCAGCAGCAGGTGAGGCCAGACATGGAATCAGATCCAGATTGTGTGGCCACAGCTGCGGGCTGCACTTCTAGGGGAAATGGTCTTACTGGAAGGTGGTCAGTAGAGAAGATCCGAGCTGATCTGCCTTTTGCATAGGGCTGTTGTGGCTTACGTGGCTGTAGGATGGGGTGAGTGGGGGCAGCTTAGTGGCTGTAGGATGGGGTGAGTGGGGGCGGCTTATGTGGCTGTAGGATGGGGTGAGTGGGGGCGGCTTAGTGGCTGTAGGATGGGGTGAGTGGGGTGGCTTACGTGGCTGTAGGATGGGGTGAGGGGGACACACCATGGTGGAACTGGTGAGAAGTAGGACCAGTAACAGGTTAGATGTGGGGTCCAATGGGAATCTGGGTGTTTGGCTTAAGCATTTAGAAAGATGGAGATGCTGTTTCTTCAGTTTGAGAAGACTTTTGGCTGACTGGTTAGGAACCATCATGAAATAAAATGTCATTGTTGGAGAAAATCATTTGGCTCCTAGGCATTGCTTTTTTTTCTGTTTGTAAACAGCACATGTAAGTCACTAGGTAAACTAAGTCATCTTGTCTGTGTACCAAAGCCACTCTGAGGAGGACCTTGGGTGTTGACACTGAGAGAACACCTGGGAGGAAACCATATTGGGACAAACAAAGAGGGGACCTGGAGGGTGAACCCAAGTCTGCGGTTCTTACAGCTGCCAGTGGGTGGCCTGACCCGCTGACCCATGTCATTGCCTTGCAGCGTCTGTGGCATAATCACCACGTGGGCCCTGGTGGCCTTTCTGCTCGGAAGACCCAGAGCCTGAACACAGCATGGTCCCTGAAGCCACTGCCCACTCGTCCTCCCAGGATGCCTGTCTGGAACTGGCTTTGTGTGAATTGTATTCTGTCTACAGATGTCGCTGTACAGTGCTTCCTTGTGATTTTGTGATGTTCTGAATGTGAAATTGCATAAATATTCTCAGTGATACAGAAACCCTTGGATGTGGTACCTTTGTTTTGTGGCCAGCACCTTTCTTTCTGTAGCTGATGAGGAAGAAGTCCCCATTTCTGGGGAGTTGAGCCAGTTTTCCAGTGTTGTCTGAATTGGTAAATATGTCAAATGACTATGAGGGGGCTTTGAAAAAATCATGGAAATGTTTCATTATCTTTTAATTCCATTGTTTAATGCAGTTTTGAAGCCCCCTTATAAAAGGCTACATTACTTTCAGGGAGGAAAAAGAATGCCTTGTATGTCACTGAGGGTAGATCTGAGAATCAGCCTCCTCTTAGTAAAGAAAAAATGGTAAGTCTGGAGGAGTCATTGTCCTGCACATTAGTGATGCTTTGATGAAAACAGGTGGTCCCTGGGTTACGAGTGTCCAACTTATACACAGCCACCACTGTACCATGCTGCCAAGTCTGTTCCGACTCATAGCCACCCGTGTAGGGTTTCCAAGGAGTAGCTGATGGGTTTGAACTGCTCACTTTGTGATTAGCAGTCCAGTGGTCATCCTTCAGTGCCACACCAGGTCCCTTAGGGCAGGTCTTCAAATCCTTTCTGTCATGGTCGATGAAGTGAAATTGGAAAAGAGCAGACATTTTACAGTTGTGTAATTTGGGTGATTGGTCATGGTAAACAGAACAGGAAAAGTTCAGGTTGAAGCCCTGGAGTGGGAGACTAGGCAGAGGCGTAGCGAGCCCTTCCTGGAGCCTGATGGGTTAGACTGCATTGTTGGCAGGACTCTGGAGGGCCACACATTCAAAGTGACATGATCGGCTGCCATCTTGAGCAGGGCAGCACTGTTTTCGAATTGTCCAGTGTTTCTAACTTAACATAATGTTAAATTGGCCTTCACTTTGAAATGCCTGCTATCTTGCACACAACCAATTCTTCATTACAATCACTTTCACTTGCTACATGTGTAGCTTTTACATTGCTGAAAAGGCTTGAAGCCTTTTCTTGCACAAAATTCTGATGAATCAATAGATTCTTAGTTAGGACCAGAGCTCGTGTATAGCCGGAGAACTGTCTTGACTGTATTAGAAACAATAAAATGTGAATATTCATTTTAGGAAAAAATTGACCACAGATCGTCTTGAAAGAGGTGTGATCCAATTATGTTTGTTTCCGGCACGGTGTCCTACACTCGGCTCTATCCACAGTCCCTAAGGATCTGAACTTGGGTGACACGGTTGCTCAATCTTGAACTTGATTTACATTCAGCAAGACCTTTAAGTTCAGTCTCAAAACATTCTCGGTGGCGGTGGTGGCTGCCCAGGTGGAGTTTAAGAGCTGTTTACCCCAAAGAGCCCATCTTGAGGGCCGGTGAGTGTGACCGTGGACCGATGGGCTGCTCATGATCGCTGAGCCAAACTGCAGGGCAGTAGGGCGGGGTTTGACTCATTTACCCAAACTGCATCAGAGCGTTTGTTGGTTGGTTTTTCCACTGACTAGCTTCTCATGTGGTGCTGTAGGATCAGCACTGGTCTGCTGACTACAAGGTTGGAGGTTCATACCCATCAGTCGTACCTCGGAATCCTGATAACAGTCGCAACTGACTCAAAGACACTTAACAATGCAACCTCTGAATGGCTGGAATACCTTGAAGGCAGGAGCAGTGTGCCTTGTTTATGTGGGTCAGGAAGCTGAGGAAAAGCCATAGGGTGCAGTGGTAAGAGCTCAGCTAACCAGGAGGTTGCTTTGAAAGATGTGATCATCTGCTTCTGTGAGGGTGACAGTCCTGCCCTACAGGCTCACTGTGTGTTGGAATCGATGCCAGGGCAACAGTTTGGGGTTTTGTTTTTATAGAGCATGAGAGACAGCAGTGGTTTTGGTGGACCTGATTCACTAATTCTTACCCAGTAAGTCTCTATAGAGTACTTGCTGCATGCTCCTTCAACTGGCCTCTCAGGGTCTTCCCAGCTCCAGTCTCTACTTGTCCTGGCCAATTGTGCGGTCTGCACTGCCCCCTGCTGGTCCCTGGAGGAGGCCACACATGACCTAAGGCTGGGTTTTTATTAACTAAACCTTCAAATTTTTTATCTTTGGATACATTCAGAAATGTGGAGGAGTTCAGGGAGGTGTGACGACCCTTGAGGTGTGGTACCTCTCCAGTCACCCTACTGAGGCCACCTGTCCACACTCCCGACTGGCCAGCACATTTTGCAGTTTTTGTCTGCAGTGCATCTTGTGGACCCTATGTGTCTGAAGCTGCTGTCTGGGCCCAAACTCCTTTTTATCCTCTCATTGAAATCTGCCGTGACACTTAGGATAAGCGCAGGACCGCAAGATTGATTTGAACCACAAGGTTGGTAGTTCAAACTCCAGCGGCTCCTTGGAAACCCTACACTGGGTTGCTATGAATAGGAACCCACTCGATGGTACTTAACAACATGGAACACAGGAGGAGCCCTGGTGGCGTGATGGTTAAGCGCTTTGTGGCTAACTGAAAGAATGATGATTTGGCTGCTCTGGGGGAGAAAGATGTGACCGTATGCTTCCCTTAAATTTACAGGCGTGGAACCTTATGTGGCAGTTCTACTCTTTCTGTAAGGACCCTATGCGTCAGAATCAGTTGGAAGGCACTGGATTGGCCGTTTTCTATCTTACACAGCGCCGCTCCTCTCTTCCTGTGCTGTCGACCTCACAGGCATAAGTGGGGTCCTGAAAGCAGATCTCGGAATCCTTGGTGGGCTGTCCAGTGGACTCTGCCCCGAGCTTTGTCCAGCTCAGTGCTCCTAGGCAGGCACTCCATTAGCTCACGTGCTCACGTCACCTTGCTGTCATTAGGAGCCCCTCAGCTCAATTCGCTGACCTGTGGCCTTCATTATGGTCCTGAAGCTTGGCTCAGCTTTGCCCAGGCCTCTGGAGTGTGAGCCGGTGTCCGCTGAGTTCAGGCTGCCTTGTCCTGTAGGATGCGGCTCACCGGAGGGAGGCACTTTACACGTGAGGCCAGGTGTTGGTCACTGCACCTGGTCCAGCCTCTGCAGCCCGGGATGTGGGCAGGGCCCGAGTGGGCTGAGATCTGCTGCATGGGGCAGAACCGGAGGGAATGGGTGCGAGTATGTAACACTGGGCGAGGGTCAAGGGAGTCGGGGTGGGAGTCTGCGGTATGGGGCGGGGTTTAGGGTGGAGGCGGGGTCAGGATAGGAATAGGGCGGGATTGGGGAGAGTGGGCTGAGATGGAGTGAATCTGGTGAGTGGGCAGGGGTCTGTGACTTTGAGGGAAGGGGTGGTGTGGGGAAAGGATGGAGCTGGACGGTATATAGGAGTGGGTTGGCAGTATGGGGCTGGGCCGGAGGAGATAGGCCATTTCAGCAGCATGGAGTGGTGTCAGAAGTAGTGGGCAGAGATGGAGTGGGATGAGAGAGCTCGGCAGCTTTGGACAGAGCTGAAGGAAATAGGCAGGGATTGATAGTATAGGGTAGGGCCCAGGGTTGTTGTTGTTAGGTGCCACCAAGTCAGTACTGACGCATACAGACCTAATGTATAGAATGAAACACTTTTTGTCTGATCCTGGGCCAACCTCACTATCATTGCCACGCTTGAGTCCATTGATGCTGCCTCTTGGCCAGTCCATCTCGCTGGGGGTCTTCCTCTTTTTCTTTGACCCTCCACCTTACCAAACATGATATCCTTCT